GTTTCCATACAGAGTAAAGAAAGGGGATGGGAATTCTAACAAGAGACTTGCACAGTCTCTGCATAGTGTTGATACTTTGCCTTGTGATGCATTTGTCCTGCTACCTTCACAGAAAAATCAACCTATCTTTCTTTTTCTCCAGATATTCTCAAACATTCAGATATTTATACCTGCATGAATTTTTATATAAAGACAAAGATCTATTCTCAAGGAAGGTCACAGATCCCACTTTTAATGCAAATATTACTTTTTTTATTTTTGACATAAAGTCTTGATCCAAACATTGAGTGATGAAGAATAAGTGAAGTCTTGGTTCTTTGTAGTTAAAAAACAAAACAAAGAAAACCACAAAAACCAAAACAGATAACAAAAATACCCAACCATCCTATTTAAATAATATATTACATTGTCTAATGTAGGCTTTTAAGAGACAAGTGCTTAATCTAGCAGCAGCAATTCTGTGTCTGAAGACAGACTGCACCTCTTTTAGTGGTTAACCAGCCTTCTCTTGATTAAGAAATCAGAATTTTGAATGGATGTAGGCATTTGCCTACTCAGAACTGCATACTGGTCTGCTAGATCTTTCTTCTGATCTGCTGCTATTTCTTTCTATGTTGTGTATGTCTGAACACCAGAATGAGAAAGCTGGCTGTCCCCTGAAGTATTCCTGAAGAATACCATTTTCAACTACTATCTTTGTCTCCTTGTCTCTGTGTCAAGTGTCACCGTGCAGTGTTGAAGCTCATGCCAAGCTATTTCCTTGTCCTTCTAAAACCTTTCAGTATGGCCACACGCTAATGTGACCGGTGTCCTTTGTTCCTAAATACGCTGTAGTACTATCGGTTGCGGTGTTCTATATTTTGTTCAACTTCCCATTACCTAGAAGATGGGTCTAATTAATTGATGCATTTCTACCACTCTTACAGGGTCAATCTGCCCTTTTTTATATGCAAACCTGCCAGCTCTGATTTTATAGCTCCTCTTAAATAATTGTGAAAAGTAATGATTATTTTGGATGTGAGAGGAGGTCCTATCAAGATTGCACTACTAGTTGTGTTTGCAACAGGGATTCTATTGGTTAGCTTAATACTTAACTAGCTTTAAGGAGTATACTACTCACTCTGATGTATTACAGAGCATCAGCATGGAATGTATTGCTGCTCCTGTGTTTGAATACCTTGCTAGGAGTATAACACAAACGTTTTGCAAGCTTGAAAAGGCAAGCTTATTTCATACATAGTCACATTGGCTTTTGCTAATTATGTAACACTTTTCCTGATTTGTTAAAGATTAGGTCCTCTTACCTGCCTTTAGAGGTGCAGAGGAGTTTGCATCTGTATTGTCAGACTACTTAACCTGACTTGAATCAGAAAATGAAGATGGATGTAATAGTTTCTTATTTTTATCTGACTTAAGCCTACAGAACAACTTCATTTCTACTTGTTCTTATATAATTAGTATTGACTAGTCTTAGTAATGGAGATTATAGACTGATACTCTTGCTTATGCCTTTATTTTCTTATGTTTTTCCTATTGGGAGCTTAATTATTTTCTGGGAATGTTCCCTAGCTCTAATGCATGCCGTGGTATGTAAGGTGACTAGAAGTTAACTTGGTACTATGTAAAAATCTTCTGATGACCTACAGTAAAAATATATATAGCTGATGTATTAAGTGTTTTCTGCAAGCGGTGGGAGTAAACAAAGTGAGAATTCCATCTTGAACGTGTTGTCCTCTTTTGATTATTTTTTTAGCTGTAATGTTAAGAGCCTCAAAAAGCAGTAACACAAACTTACCAGGTTTACACGTTTCCTAGGCAGCATGCAGCATTACAGGGGTGCATTCTCCATCACCATTAACAGGTAGCCCAGAAGACTGCTTTGTCTTGGGACTTGATGTGGAATTCGCTGGCTTTGCAGTCTCTCTCCCTCTAAAGCTGTTCTTCCAGGTGAAAGAAAAATGGCTTGTTGAGTGCGTGTTTGTTTTTCTTGAACTATCTAAATATACAGCATGTCTTTTTTTTTTTCTCTCTTCTCCCCTCCCCCGGTTAACTGGCCCTTGCTCTGGGTTACTTGGAATTCTTTCCCTCCTTATTCAGAACTGGACTGCAAAGTATCTGGTAATTGTGGACGCCAATAACTGCAAACCTTCTGTTCATCACAGGGAAAACTGTGTAGAGGTGCATGTACTGTACTATTGTTTGTGCATACATAACCTTATGCATACGCAGAACAGCATTTGCTGCACCAGTTCTGTCCATTTGCAAAGTCTTACATCGTGACTAGGTGTGCCTCTCTCCTTCCTCAGCCTCAGGGCTACAGTGGTCCTTATGAAGGGATTTGAGGAGTTCAGAACGGGGACGGCAATGCCTCAGGCGGCTGTTGTAAGGCAGCTGGAGGGTTTGAGATGTGGCCTGGAGCGGTCAGTACTAGGTCTGGTGCTCGGACTCCTCCCTCCGCGTCGCGCACCTAGAGCGAGTGTTGGACCTTTCTGCAGGCCGCCGAGACCTGAGTCGGCTCCCGCCTTTTTTCCCCCCCCCGCCGCTCCCCCGCCGTTTCTCGTAGCAACGAGGGGCCTGGCGCTAAGGAGCACCCCTGTCAAGCGGCTCCGGCGTCCTGGCCGACAACGGCGGGAGACCCGAGGAGGAGGGCGGGCCCGCGCGGCGCCCGCCAACCCTGTCACGAGGAGCCGGAGACACGGCAGGCGTGCCGCTGCGCATGCGCGGTGGTGGCGTGGCGCCGCGCATGCGGAGCTGGGGACGCTGAGACCTTTACCCGGAGGCAGCGCGGCCGGCAGGTAACGGTGGGGGTGCAGGCCGCAGCG